ATTTATATTAAAGAAAATATTTTTATTCAGAAACATATTTTTCTTAAAAAAAATATTTTTACTAGAAAAAATAAATGAAAAAAAATATATTTTTTTTAATAAAAAATTGTCTTTCATATCAAATATTTTTTTAAAAAAATAATAAATGTTTTTTTTATTTTTTTTTTTTTTTAAAAAAAAATATTTTTTATTTAAAAAATATAATATATTGAAAAATATTTTTTTAATAAAATTATATATTTTTATTCTTTAATATTACGTTCCACAAGAAAATGCATTGAAATACTGAAATTAAATATCACCAAAAAAATCCTCATGCTCTAAAAAATTTGAATTTTATTCAAAACTCATCACCCACCACAACCTACCTACCTCCCTATTCGTTATGAAAAATCATAATATACCATCATTACAACTTCATAAATTCAAAAAAAAATTATTTATCCTTTTTTTAATTTTTTATTGTATGTATATTTTTTGTTTTTGTTGTATAAAAATTCAAATGAAATAAAATTAAAAATATTAACAAACACTAATGGTTATGGTTTTATGTATTGTATGTTAATTTTTCATTATTTTTTGTTTTTTATGTATGTTTTCATTTCATTTAAAATTTTGAATATTTGCTTTTTTATGTCAACATTTCCATATGCGCTTTTTTATGTTTGCTTTTATTTTTGTATAATTTGTTTATTTTTGTAAGTATTTGAATTTTATTTTATTTTTGTATTTAGTTTATAATGTGTGTTCATATATAGACAATAAATTTTGAAATAAAGTTTTATTTTTTGTTCCAATAAAAAAATTTCTGAATATTTTTCTAAATATAGAATACTTGAAAAAAAATATTCATTAAAAAATAATATAAAATATTCAATACAAATAATTGAATTTAAAAAATATATAAAATATATATATTTTTAATTAAATAACAATTTTTTTAAATTTACTCCTTTTTTTAATAAAAAAATATTTTTTTTAATATTTTATAAATTTTGTTTAAATTTATTATATTTATTTGTGTAGTTATTTTATGTTTAGAATTTTAAGTAGCTCGTCGTCGTGTCCCGTCGTGTCCTCGAATTGTCCTCGTCGTATATTCATGTACACTACCTTCAACACTTTTACAAATCATCAGGCCAACAACCCATATTTTTTGTTTTCTTTATTTATTTCATCATCACAAGAAGACTCTGAATTTAATTCAATACATTATCAACATCCACATCATCCTGATCAATCATGCCATGAATTAATCTCATATCCTATGATACAAAAAATCTTAAAAAATTATGAAAATTTTCGCCAATCACAAACGATTGCGAAAAAATATCAATTTCTCTATCAATACCCCTGGCGGGCAGAGGAGGAGGGCAGTACCGTAACTGATTTCGATTTATATATGATACATAAAATCGAAATATATCCCCATTACACTTATCCGGCACCGGCAACAACAGCTGCAAATTCGTCCTCATCGCCGCATGCCTTGGAAATGAGCCGGGCAAATTTACAGCTACATGTTGATCATCAGCAAAATCATCACGCTCAAGATGAGGAGGATGGTGGTATACTACCACCCTATCGTACGGTATCCCATTATGGTTTCAATTACCCCTCCACCTATAAACCCAGTGTAAATTTACACCCGGCCTGTTCGGCCACTCCAGTAGAGCTGCAAAGGCAAAAGGTCATAGCCTTTATTAAACGTTTAAATATGGAGGCAGCAGCGGCAGGAGCCCGGGAAAAATCAACATCCCTATTGTTGACCAAACAAAATATGAAGAAATTAACGGGAAAAGAAGTCCACGAAGAAGCAGAAGAAGATCATATTTATGAAAATACCAAAAAATTGGAGAGTAGTGGTGCAGAGTCTTTTATATCCATCAAAGAAATACAATTGAGGAATAATCCGCGCAAGAAGTTACGGCACATTTCCAGCTCCTCATCATCGGGGCAAGTGGTGAAATCATTGCAACATCATGGTGGAAATCGGCAACAACCCAGTATAGATTTATTGTCGGAACAATTCTCCTCAATGCTTTCCATAAGTGGCACCTATCCGGCTGCCAGTCATTCGAACAATGATGGTGATCCGGATCATTATCATTTCAATACCGATTCGGCAGATAATTGTTCCAATTGTGGCCGAAAAACCTCATCGGAAAATCTTTATCGCAATTATGTACAGCGTCATTTTATACCCAATACTACGGAATCGGATAATTTCATGAATGAAGATGATGATGATGATGCGGACGAACATGATCCCCACAAACCGGAATGTGAACAACAACAAACAGCAGGAGGAGGAGGCGGTCCCCCTAACCACAAAAACAGTAACAACAATCAAGGTGGGAAAGCAAAAACCACCATCTTCACATCCTGCTCCTCCTCCACCACATCAACGGCGGCACCAAAATCCAAAGAGAAAATAATTTATTCCTCTACACAATCCCTACATTCCAGCAGTGATAATCGCCATGTTACCCTGACCCTGAATTCCTTGAAACGGCGTGCCTCCTCCTCTCTCAATGAGCGCAAAGGGATAGCAAATCGAAATCGTGGTGGTGGACAAACGGCGGCCACCTTTGCTGCCCAGGTAATTCAAAACAAAACAAATTCCAGCTCCATGGCTATGACGACAGAGGAGGAGGCCACTAATAATTCCACCACTGCCATTGAGATCCATATAAATGTCAACATTCGCAACAGCGACTGTGTCAAGAATCTGCAAAATCATGAACAGGAATTTAAATTGAAATTGGAAAAGGTCATCGATAATGAGATCAGTTTGATAACCAGGGAATTGGAAAATCCCGACATTAATAATAACACCAATGAACAGGAAGATGACGAGTTGGAAGAAGAGGAGGAGGAGGAAGAGGGTTGCCAACATTTGTCCCTAAATTATCAGCAACGTTGCCTATCCGCACCCGATGCCATTGGGCTGTATGGTACAAATCATCTTCACTTAAATGGTGACGGATCAGCAGAAGGTGCTGCTGAATCAGCCTGCATCGAAGCTGATCGCCATTATTCCTATGATAATGATGATTTTAATTCCATAGCATCGACACCATTACCAAATCATCATCATGGCTTGGCTGCCGACAAATCGAATTTACAAAATTTACGTTATCGCCACACCCTGGCCCTGCTCGAACATGAACTGGAAATGCTACTCAATGGCATCATACGTAATATGTGTGATTGTAAAATGAAAATTTCCCAAATATCGGAGGATATTCGAACGGCCAGTTTGCATGTGGATCCTTTGAGTAACGGAGGAGGTGGTTCCAAGACCAAGAAAAACCAACATCATCATCAGACAAGGACAACGGCCTCAATGGGTGATGGTTGGCTATGAAGGATTTTTGGGAAAATTTAAAATTTTGAATTGATTTTTTTTTTATTAAAATTCGATAATTATTTTAAGTTCAATTTCAATATTTTTCTTTTTTTTTTGTATTAATTTCCATATAAAAATTGAAATGTATATTTTTTTTAAATTTTGTAATATAAAATCCAAGAAAAAAATGTAAATATCAATATTACAAATAAGTACACTACGAGTTCCAAACTCCAACAAGAGATATTTGAATACATTAGAGTACAAATACATTCAGAAACTCTCCGTAAAAAAAGTGAGGTTTGGGTGAAAAATCAAAGTTTGCAAAAAAGAAAAAATAACACCATTATTTCAAAAGCCGGTATATATAATGCTTAAAAATGTATATTTGAATAAAAAAATTCGATTTTTAAATATGTATTTAAAGAATGTTCCCCAAAAGTGAGGTTATGATAAAAAACTTTAAACATAGAAAAAACGTACCCCTACTTATCACTCACTTATTTGAGTAATACAACTGAAATTTTATATATTTCAATGATATTTTGAAATTTTTTTTTTCAAAAGTGTGGTTATAAATTATTTTTTTTTGGTAGATCTTTGAAAAATTATTTTGTTAAAAATCCACGCCTTGGTAGGTCTATGAAAAAAAATTATTTTCTAAAAACCCCAATTTTTTTCAAAATTCAAAAAAAAAAAATATTTTTTCTTCAACCATAACCTCACTTTAAGAGAATTTTTTTTAATTGCATCATAAATTTTGTAATTAAATTTGGTTTGGCGCGTAAAAACCCCTCACGTACAGTACTCCATTGAAAACATTTTTTATTATTTTTTATATAATTTTTTTTTTTTATAAATTTTGAAATTTTGTTAAGTTTGTTTTTTTTGAAATACATTTCATTTTCTTTTGTTAAATAAAATTTATAATTAAAAAATAAATAATATTATAATACAATTTATATTTATGTTTTAATATATAAAGAGAAATTTCGAAGCCTATTTTTTTAGATTAGAAAAAGTCAACAAGAAATCCAAAGCACGCTCTTTGACTGAGGGTGCTGTATTTTCAATTATAATTTTTTTTTAAATATTTTTTTTAATTTTAATAGATTTTTTTAATTTAAGTCAAAAACACAGGTAATTATTATTTTTTAAGTTTCAATTATAGTTTTGAAAATATTTATTTTTTGTTGTGTTTTGTGAATTGTTTAGAAATAGTTTTATTTTAGATTTAAATGAAAACTTTTGTAAACTCTAGTTTTAGTTATTAGTACCCAACCTTCAAAAAAACCCACACCCCAAATATTCCCTTAGTCCATATGTTAAATGAAAAAAAACTAATATTTTTTACACATAACCTCAAAGTCCATTCCTAGTTTGTTTATTATTTTTTTTTATTTGCCTTGCATGTCAAAAAAATCATTGTTGGTTTCTTTTCATATTTCTCCATCATAACATTCTTTCACTCACTTACACTCTCTCTCCGTTTCGCTCTCTTTTTCGAAAAACTCATTTCTCTCTTTCATAACTTGTAAAAATGTGATCCGTCCATAAATAATTCATGATTAATTATGCTGCAATTTATTTTTTTAAATAAATATTTTAATTGTTTTTTTGTTGTATTTTTTTCTATTTCAAATTCTAGGTGAAAATGTACAAAACGGTGATCATTCGGAAGCTCATTTGAGCACATTTTCGCACAGCAGTAAAGAGGTAAGAGATTTTGCGCAATAATCCCCCTCCAGAGTCTATCCTCTATCCAGTATCCAGTAGATATTTCGTATTTTTTTATCTTTTTTTAAGAATTGCAGAAGAAAATCGTATTGAATTTTGGAATGAAAATTTAGATTTCCAGAAAATAAATTTAAACCTCATTAATAAGTGTCAAAAGTATTTTTTTTTTAATTTATAACCTCACTTTGGAGCCAATTAAAGTCATGTTCACTCTACGATTTTCTTCTTCAATTTTTTCCCTATTTTTTATTATTTTTCCAAATTCTTAAATATGTTTTTTCTTTTTCTCTTTTTTTTCTTTTCAAAAAACCTAACCTCAAATCTAACCACCCAACCAAATCATGTCAATCCCTCGTTTGTTTTTTCCTGTGGTCGAAATTTTGCGTGCGCTGTACTCCTGGATCCCCCACACAATCCCAACCACCCTGTGTTCAATTACTAACAAAACCACAAACGATATTCTCAATGCAAATTTCTATTACGGTTCCAGGATATTTCAACGGACGGTTCACCCAAGAAAGACAAGAAAAAGAAGAAGGGTCTGCGAACACCATCCTTCTTGAAAAAGAAGAAGGAGAAGAAGAAGGCCGAAGCCTAAATTAATACAACAACAACTACTGCTGCATGCAACACACCAACAACAACACCACCAGCAATTACAACAACATATTCAACGAAAGATTATGCGAGATGAATAGTAAGAAGGAGGATGAGAAGGCGTTAGAAGATGATGATGCTCTTATTAAGAAAAAAATTATTGAAATTTTTTTAAAGAAACCCCCACAACAACAACATGATGATATTTCTTACTTCTTATTATAACAACAAGAACAACAAAAAAATAAATTTTCTACTCATCGCGAAATGAAACGAGAAGATGATGACACACACCCACTCACCACGATATATAAAACGGAGACCCGATACTCCACGGGATTTAATTATTATCTAGTTTAAGAAAATGTGCAAAACAACAACAAAACAATCCCCCTTTTCCCCAATTTATTTTTTTTTAATTATGTGTTAATTATTTTTTTTGTTTTATAATTAATTTTATATATAAAAATGTATTGTTTTTATTTTTTTTTTCGTTTCTTAAAACAAAAGAAACAACAACAACATTAAGTGCAAGCTAAATATTTTTACAAAACGACGATAAAAACGCCCGACGACGACTAGAAGATGAAGAAGAGAGGCATAATAATTAAAAAAAAAAAACGATATAGCCAGAAAGAAAATAATTTAAAAATCCGAGTCCCCCAAGAGCAGCTTTTCTTTTGTTTTTTCTTTCAAAAGTAAATTAAGACAGATATGCATTAATTAATATATTTATAATTATAAATATATATATTTTTTTATACAATAATTGACAGATAATGCCAACCAACCACACACACACACCATATACTATATACCTATCTTATATACAAACACAAAAATTACACAACATTTATTTGTAGATGTCGTCTCCCCGCAGCCCCCTCACTCACTCCCTTTTAAAGAAAACACAACAAAAACAAAAAAGAAAGCAACACAATTTTTTATATATATACATATATACTATTATGTAAAACAAAACCCTTACATAAATCATGTTCAGTATATAAAGCAAAAAAACCCAACAATGATGTAGTAGTTCTTAAAAAAATTATATTTGAAAAAAACAAATCCACAACCAACAACTTTGTAACGAAACAAAAAACCAACAACAACATTATAGGGTATATATATGTTTATATAAGAAAACAATTTAATTATATATATACCATAAAAATTAAAAAAAAAAAAAACAAATTATATACTTTCAAATTTACACCACACACAAACAAAAAATGATTATTATATATATATTATAAAGAAAATATATATTTAAACAAATTATTAAGATAAAAATAAACAACAACAAATGTATAAAACAAAAAATAAATAAAATACAAAACAAACAAAAAAAGAAATGCTTTAGATATTGTTTTTTTCAAATAAATTATATATTTATAATAAATAAAAAAAAAAAACAAACAACAAAAGATAAATTTTTTCAATAATTAAAATCCAAAAAAAAAAACAAAAACAAAATGTAAATCATCATGTTATGGCAAAATAGAATAAATATTTTCACATTTCCCATCAGTCATCTCTACAGACAGACGACTTTTTTCTGTAGTCCATAAATAATCCTCATCCACCACCTTTCAGTCATCCTTATTTATATAGCTGGCTTCTTATAGAACGGTTATTCCATAAGCCGAGCTTAAAAAATATTTCCAGGAGCGTCGGTCTTTTGCGCAGTTTTTTTTCGAATTTGAAAGACCATATTCGGCAATGTTGTCGTCCACTTGATCTTTCCATTTAAATTCGTGGCCCTTCCCTTCTACGTGAACCATCTGCTTGTTCGCTTTTATATGCCTTTTGGGCTGGGGCATCTTCATCCATTCTCACAACATGACCTAGCTAACGTGTAGTCACTGCAGCTCAATACGTCTAATAATGCCGAGGTCCGAGAATATCTGGTACAACTCATGGTTCATTCGACGCCGATATTCACCGTCGACGCAGATCGACACATAGATCTTCGGACAATTTTTCTCTCAAAAAATCCAAGAGCAGCCTCATCTGCTTGCATAAGTACCTATGCTTCAGATTCATATAACAGCACGGGTAGTATCAGCGTCTTGTAAAGTGTGAGTTTGGTCTGGCGGGAGGGAGGTGGCCTTGCTTTTGAGTTGCTTGCTCAGACCATAGTAGCATCTGTTGGCCAACACTATTTTCCTCCGGATTTCATAGCTGATGTTATTCGTTTTGTTTATGGCGGTACCGAGGTATATAAAATCGTTCACTACCTCGATGCTGTAGTTTTCAAATTCCACAGTTGGTCCGAGTCTACTGGACGTCTTGTGCGTTGATACCATCAGCTTGGCCTAATCGCCGTTTACTGCCAGACCCACTTTGGAAGACTCCTCAATTTGTTCAAATGTGGCTGTTACCGCTTGCAATGTTCGACCCATTATGTCGTTGTCATCGGCGTATGCGAGTAGCATATGCTGTTTGGTGTACAGAGTGTCATTTCTGTTCACCTTTGCCTCTCGTATGACCTTTTCCAGCAAGACATTAAAAAGACAAACTGTCACCTTGTCTGAATCGACAAGGCCAAAGCCTTCGGTTTGGTGTTTTACTCGTTGGTTGGTCTGAAGAGATTTCTTTCTGTCTGATTTAAAGACTAATTTTCCGTTGTCTATAAGGACGTTTTTTCGCCGTGCTTTCAGTTATCCATATAGACTCCTTATTGTTAGTCGTCGATAGAGACTCCGTTTCGTGGTGTGTAAAGCCTTTGACACTTTCACAATGTCCTTTGGCGGAGTCCTGACTGTTTTGAAGTTGCTGAAATCATTTTGTTTTTTTTTAGTTTTATGGAGGGTTGTCCTTGCCTTCGCATTATTGAGGACTTGTCAGAGAATTCTATTGGTCTTGAATCTCACTTGCAGTTAGGTGAATATTGTTTTATTCAAATGTCCACACACACACTTAAGATTCCTTCTGATCAGGTGAGTAAGGAGGATTGTACTGAGGTTTCCCCACATTCTTCGTCTGTATACAGAACTTAACTGGAAGAGAGGAAGTCCTCCGAAGAGCTCGATACTCGACCCAGGAGTTTTTTTATTCTAAAGACTTTCAAAATTGTGACTTTCACAAATTTGGTGTTTCATTTGCCTGCCATCTTCGACTTTGTTGTTATTCTTGATGTGTGGGAATTATACCGAACGGATCATCGCATGTGGCTTGGTTAGGATGACCGGGGGGTATATTTTCTGATTTTTTTTTTTTTTTTTGTCACAGAACTCAAACTTTTGGAAGAAAATTCATCCCAACTGGAGGGTGTTGCTATTGGCTAAGATGGAAAGACCCAATTTATTCAATTAAATTGGGAACTTATTCGCTTTGCTTCTTAGATCAATCGTTTTTGTTGGCAGAACCTACTGACGATTAGAACAAATTAAGAGTTGTACCAGAGTCAGAAACTTTCGTCATTGAATATTGTTCTTAAAGTTTTTGTTGAGTCTGAGGTTGCCAAAGGCATCCACACGGAATTAATTAAAAGAGTTTTTGTTGCTTTGGTTTAACATTTTTTTTTACGATGGACGGTGGACACAGGCCATGACAAGAAAAAAATGTTTCGTCTATAAAGAGCAGTCCTCTTTTTGGGTCGCCTGCAATGTCTCTTCCGCTCGCCGTTAATAAACCATCCTTTTGAAACATCTATAAAGAAACCTATAACTCCTATAACCTTATAACTCCTTCCTAGTGGTCTATTAATCCCCTTCAGTTCTAAATAATACCTTTCTTCTCAGTTGAGAGAAAAGACTCCTTCCAATAGTCTGCAGTCAGTCGTGTATAAAATCTCATTTACGCTCATCCATAGAGGTTAATTTGTTAATGTCCATTAAGGCTCTTTCTCTGGTGTCCACTAGAACATATTTCACTCATGTATATAGATTCAGTTTTTTCATCGATAATGTCTGCTTTTCAGTTGTCCATCAGGACTTCTTCTCTGTCATCTATAGTATATGAAATATCCTTGAAATTATGATGATCAAAATTAAAAAAATAATCTCTAATTAAAATAATAATAATAATTAAAAAACAACAACAAAATCACATCACACATAAAGTACAGCATATTTCGCAACTTTTCCCACATTACAAAATCAAATTTACATTAAAAAAATAAATAATAAATAACAATAAAAAAAAATTAAATTTAAAGCGAGCATAAAAAATCTATGTAAATGTATATGTGCTATTTTTTAAGATTAATAAAAGAAAAATAAAAAATTAAAAATAAAAAAAAATAAAAACGAAAAAAGAAAATAAAAACAATCAGATTTTTTATATTAAATAAAATAATTAGATAAAAAGAAGAAGAAACAAATCACGCTAAAAAGTTTAAATCAATAAATTTTCTCTGTGAACAAAAAAAAACAAATGATGAATAATAATTAATAATAATAAAATTGCTATAAAATATGAAGCTTCAATGTTCGCCATTAATGTTACCTTTTTGCAATGCATATTCATTTTAAAAATTTGGTTCATAGGATTCTTTACAGTTTTTTTCCAATGCATCTAAATATTAAATTGGAAAATAGGATAACTGGCGTATTTTTAAAAAACGTGTTGAGTTTATTACTTTTGTTTCTATTATTTTTTTAATATAATAAAGGATATTTAAATATTTAACAAGTAATAGAGATTGTAACATGTTCTCATTTACATTAAAAGTTATTTTCAAACCAATACACGACGATCATCATCCAATATTAGGCATTTATTTTACAAAAAAACGACATTTCTATTTTTTATACATTTAGCTAGATATTTGTCCATGATAAACAAACAACAACAATTTTTGATACTGCCATAAAAAAATATTTTAAATTTATATCGAACATTGTTTTTCAAAATAAGTCGTCATAAAAATTAATAAAAAAATAAATCTTGTATCGTTAAACAATGAAAAAGAAATGAAAAATATTTTTCTTTCCGAAAATTATAACAACAACTATAAAGAAAAAAATGGCTTATTTTATTTTTAACTTAAATTATAGCCAAGTGAATTTTGAATAATAAAGAATTCAATAAAAAATGATACATATATAAAAAACATTGGTGTATTTATTTCTAGAAGGAAAGGTATTTATTTCTAGAAGACTATAGGCGACTAATTTGTCTAGAGACCTAAATAAGGCGTAGATTTTGTTTTAAATAATTTTTCTGGAGACTAGAATGAATGTGTCCATAAGTCCCATTTTTCAACAACATACAGGTAAAAATATTTGGTTATGCAAAGTTTGGTTCAAATTGGTTAGTCCGTTCGCATGATATTACAAAATTAATTTTCCAGCAAAAGTTTGAACATTTTGTGAAGGGGGTACTAGACGTAGTGGACCGATATTCCCCATTTTCGAAAATGACTTATGTTTGAAAGAGATATTGCGATGTGTAAAGTTTGAATGAAATCAGTTACACCCTTGGAGAGTTATCATTCGTTTAATATCAATTTAAAATCGAACAACATACAGACTTTGTTTGCGCCTAAAAGTATGCTATTCTTTTCTTTACAAACCAGCTAATGGCTGTGGCTGCTTGCTGAAGAAGAAGAAGAAAAAATTGCCCTTTTGTAACAATCAATTTTTGTGTAATTTTTCATTTTCTGGTATTAGGTGCCCAGCACCGAACAGTAAGTATATTTTGGATCATGGTTGATTTCAAATGCAAATAACTCAGAGACTATTTAACCGATTTTCATAAAATTGGCAGCAATGGTTCGAGGAAATTCTAAAGTTTTATTCGATATTGACAACACATATACAAATATATGTTATATACGAGAAAATTAGCTTTATATGAAAGTTCAAAGATATTTAAAATATGGATAATTTTTTTCGATAAATGTAAACAATGCAGTATAGTCGATTCAGCCTGGCTATACCAAACCCATATAGACCGCTTGATAGACGACTGAAAGGGGGTTTATAGACGAATGGGAAATTTGAATTGAAAGAGGTCTTTATAGAAGACTGAAAAGAAGTTGTTATAGAGGACCGAAAGGGGTATTTATAGACGACTGAATAAAGTCATTATAGACGACTGGAAGGGATCCTTATAGACTGGGAAAAAGACTTTATAGAAGACTGAAAGGACTCTTTATAGACGATTGGAAGAGGTCTTTATAGATTCATTATATACGACTGAAAGGAGTCTTTAGACATTACTAGGAAAGAGACTGCATAGAAAAATGAAAGAGTTATTTATAGAAGACAGAACAGAAGTCATTATAGACGACAGAAAAGGAGTTTATAGACGACTGGGAAATTTGAATTGAATGAGGTCTTAATGGAAGACTGAAAGGGATTCATTATATACGACTGAAAGGAGTCTTTAGAGACTACTAGGAAAGAGACTGCATAGAAAAATGAAAGAGTTATTTATAGAAGACTGAACAGAAGTCATTATAGACGACAGAAAAGGGGTTTAAAGACGACTGGGAAATTTGAATTGAATGAGGTCTTAATGGAAGACTGAAAGGGGTATTTATAGAAAGAGGTCTTTATGGAGTCTTTATAGACGACGGAAAGGGATAATTTTGGACGACTGGGAAAGAGACTGATAGGATTCTTTATAGAGGACTTGGAAAGAGACTAAAAGGAGTCATTATAGACGACAGGGACAGAGACTATAGAAGACTGAAATGAGTCTTTATAGGCGATTGAAAGAGGTTTTTATAGACAACTGAATGGAGTCATTATAGACGACTGAAAGGGGTATTTTTAGACGACTGGGAAAGAGACTGAAAGAAGTATTTATAGACGATCGAAAGAGGTCTTTGAAGAAGACTGAAATGAAGTGATTGTATACCACTGAATGGAGTCTTTATAGACGTTTAAAAGGAATCTTTATAGACGACTAAAAAGTCTTTATAGAGGTCTGAATGACATCTTTATGGACCACTGAAAGGAATCCTGACGACTAAGAAACAATAACTACGGACGACTGATAATATGGCTATATGGTCCCATTGTTTTTTTTTACAGACACCTTTGTAAGAGTCTCTTTGGAGAGCTTCTATAGAACTCTGTGGAGATGGGCTTCCAAGGCGTTTATGAAGCTGACTGAACAGAACTTTATTAACGAAACAAACAGTTACTTGTGGGACTCTATACATAAGTCTGAGATTAGCCTTTATATAAGTTGACCAGATTTTAATAATTTTAAATAGATGACAAAAAGAAAAACTATATTTTTTATATAAAAATAATAGTATGTGTATAAAACGTACAATTAAATTTACCTATAAATATATAAAATGTCGTTAAGTACGACCGGGCCAAAATTTTCGAAGTGAATAATCTTGGAATCTTTATATAATCAACATAGCCAAAAAGTAGAGAGCTGCAGCAGAGTTGCTGAAAAATATTGCATGTGTAAACCCAGACTATCAAAACGTGTCACGGAGCCCTTAATATACCAAAATTTAATAATTAATATTTTTATGGAAATTTTTTACCCAATTAGTACTCAAAATATAATATAACAGATAATTCAGTTGGAAAATGTGTTTAAAATCCTTAAAATACCGAAAATGTGGGCAGTTATATGGTTATTTCAGCTTATATTCGGATTTTTTTTTTAAATCTAAATATTTCACTGAAATTCCATACTTTATAGCATTGTAAAAAAAACACGTTTACTGGTAGGATTACAAAATATTAAAAAAATCTCTTTTCTGAACCTTTATAGCCTTGCAAAACAGTCTTTATGGTCAATGGGGTATAAGACTTTAAAAATATCTACTAGATCCCACCCATTACATTGAAGTAACCTGTTGTATCTCCTTGAAGTCATTTTCCCCCCAAAGAACTCCTGCCCAAAAATCTCCCTAGAAACAAATCCAAAACATTCTTTCCAACACACGATTTAACGAGATCAAATGCTATAAAAAATTTTTATTGTTAATATCGAGTCATTATTTGTTTTTTTTTTTTTTCATTCATTCAATACAAATAAACAAAGACACATATTCACTAAAACATATTAGCAGAAACAAAAAAAAAAAACGAAACTTAACACACATCTATAGACAAATGAAACGCATTATAACTATTTGGAGAGATTCTAATTTTTTGTTTGTTGTTTTTGGTTATACAGCTGTTGGTGCCACACGTTTGCCGCAACGCAATGACATCTCCTCTTCGGTGGCATCGGCCAAATGATTAATGCCCATCGAATAGGAAACTTCACCATTTTCAAATTTCTTATTGTGTTCTTCGACGCGATTTTTCGTTTTGCCAAAGATTTCACGACGCAATTTCTCCTCGGCCTCGGTGGCATAGGTTTTATTGAATTTGGTCTGGAATGAAACCAAATTTAGATAAATGAAATTATTTGTATTGAAAATAATAATAATGCATAGTATTGGAATTTTAATTTCAAACCTTGAAATCATTCCATTCTTGATCGCTGACGTCGGCCATTTTAAAATGCTGTGATTAGAACAATTTGTTTTTTGTGTTTGTTACAGGAGATGCTTAGCTTCAATGCTGTTTTCAATTCAATTCGTCAATGACTAATTAACTTTTGTGACTGTCGTTTTGAGTTCGACTATTGTAGACTCACTGCTTCTTTCTAAGTAATTTTCTAATCACCAACAAATAAACAAAAGCAAGCAAAAAATAATAACAAAAGATTAATAATCAGTAATTAGTGTTGTAAAAAAATAATCGATTACCTGATTACTGATAGTGGCCGTTATTTAAGGTTGACAAGTGCTTTGTTCCCGTACTTATTAAAGGGAAATCGAAAATTATTTTTAAAAAACCAGTGAGCGGAGCAGTATAGTCGGGCGGGGCCGACCATATTATACCCTTCACAAGTTCCACGAAAATCTAACTTTCTGTGGTTCTATATTCTGAGCATGGGCAATATTTTGCGATATTTGAACCATCTTGACCAACTAGAGGTCAACAAATATTATTAATATTCAGTAAAGACCTTCCCTTCACAGCGGGTTGTGTTGTGATGTTCGGCTTCCACTTGTGGACTACAGATCGACTCGAAAACACACACAAAAAATTAATTAAAGCGATCGGCGCTATATTTCCGCCCCCCAGTGTGGTAATGGGTTACTAAATATTATCTGAATGAGTAAGCACCAGTAAATATTTAAGTGTAACTCCCTCATCAGAGTACATATGACAATATAGATGGTATCAATTTAAAGGTCAACCACTCCTCTTGGATATGCTATCAACTTTTCGGGTCCTTGTTCTTCAGTGGTAAAAATATACTCCATAGAATACAAATTTCGTAATTTTTCACACAAAAGTCCCCTATAAAGATCTCCATATAAAATTTCGTGATATTTGGGTCATATTTGCGGCCTCTGGAGCGACCACAAAAACCGACAAAAATTTAGTAAATGGTCCATTTCATCCCCTAAATATTAACCTATCTTTACCATATTATATTAACCTATTCGTCCACAACTGTGGCCTGTATCGTGTTTACAAATTATAATGGACAGACGGACGGACACACATGTCTAGATCGACTCAGCTAGTCGAGATATGACGATCGGTATACTTAAAGGTGGGTCTAGGTCGATTTACAAAAATGTCCATCCGTCTATCTGGGTGTTTGGCTGGTTGGCAATTGCTCCATTTCCGTACTTATTAAACGGGCAATCGAAAGAAATTTTGAAATATTAGTTTTAGACCCCATGTTTCTTCGTAGCAAATCCGTTTCAGACAATTTGGAGTCTATTTACAAATGTCCATCCATCCGTCTATCGGCCTGACTGGTTGGATCGTCCGCACGATAACTCTCATAGGGATTAACCTATTTCATTCATACTTTGTACATCGTAATATTTGTTTCAAACTTAAATCAAGAACGAAGATGGAAAATATCGATCCAATCCTTTTGGTACCTCCCATACAAAATGGTCAAAATGTAGCTGAAAAAGTTGTAAATTTTGTCAAAGTGGGTCTGGCAGTAAACGGCGAGAAGACCATGCTGATGGTATCAACGCGCAAGATGTCCAGTAGACTAACTGTGGAACTTGAGAACTGTAGCTTCGTCGACTATAAAGCCGCATTCGACAGCCCCATCCGTTCAGTCCGTCTGCGTTTGACATTCCTGTTAAATATTTTATATATCTTTGGTAACGCCATAAGTAAAACGAATGACATCTGTTCTGAAATTCGGAGAAGGATAGTGATGGCCAACCGATGCTACTATGGTCTGAGCAAACAACTCAAAAGCAAGGCCATCTCCCACCAGACCAAACTCACACTCTACAAGACGCTGAGACTACCCGTGCTGTTGTATGGATCTGAAGCATGAGTACTTACGCAAGCAGATGAGGCAGCTCTTGGAGTGTTTGAGAGAAAAATTCTCCGAAAGATGTATGGGCCGTTCTGCGTTGACGGTGAATATCGTCGTCGAATATACCATGAGCTGTACCAGCCATTCTCGGACATCGACATTGTTAGAAGTATTGAGCTGCAGCGACTACACGTTGGCTAGGTCATGTTGTGAGAATGGATGAAGACCCAGAAGGCGTATAAAAGCGAACCAGCTGATGGTTCACGCAGAAGGGGACGAATAATATGGAAATATCAAGTGGAAGACAACATTGCCGAATGTGGTCTTTCAAATTGGAAACACTGCGCAAAAGACCGACGGGCCTGAAAATCTTTTTTAAGCTCGGCTTATGAAACGAAAGTTCTGTTACAAGCCAGCTAAGTAAGTAATAGAAGTGGATTTTTTTAAAATGTTTTTTTTAAGAATACCGTAAATTAAAACCCATTTGTTTTTTTGTAATATTAAACATTTATAGTCGTTTATTGAATTTGTTTTTATTTTTAGTATTAATTATTGTTACTATTTTTAATAATTTTGTTACTTTTTTAAATGGTCTCATATAACTTAATAATAATTTTTTGTTTTATTTTAATGGGATTTTTAATGTCAATGTTCAAAAGTGTTGCGACGTGATGATGAATGGTGTTTCATTGAAATAAAAAAAAAAATAAATATCATCATCAGTAACTGTTTTTTTTAATAATGCATTTTAAGAGTTGCAAATTTCTCTTTTTTTCTGGTTTTGCGATGTATTGTGTTTGCTTACTTCTCCTATAAACTAAATTAATTTTTTCATTACCAAAAAAAATTTTATATAATAAATGTTTTTTATGGACAAGAATATTGCAAAAAAATGTTGTTATAGAGAAAGTTTATATGTAAGTTATAAATATTTAAGAAAAGTTAACATCTATGCAATAAAAAAAAAAATATTTAAAACATAAACTATTAAAAAAAGAACAAAAGAAAAATAAAAAAATATGTTTAAGCAGTCATAGTTTGTTTAAAAAATATTAAGAATAAATTTTACTCAAAACTAAAATTAAGTTTGTATGTTTTTGTTTTCCTTACAGGCATTTTCTTTAGTGTTAATTTTTTTAAATATATAAAACTACACTCATATCTAAGGTTTGTTATTGTTATATATTTCGATAATATTTAAAAAAAAAATGCTTTAAATGGATTTCCAGTTTTTTTTTGTTTGTTTTGTAAACCTTATATTTTTGTTATTTACTTTTTTTAAATAAGGCAAACAAATGTCTTTAAGAAATTAAAAATTGTTTTTATATTTTTTTTTCTTGTTATTTTTTTAATACCGAAACAGTACAATTTTTTGTTGTTGTTGTTAATACATTTTGCAGTGTGATTCTTGTTGTTGCTGTGGAAGGAATAAATTCCTTGGATTCTTTTTTTTAATATCAAATTTCGTCTAAGAAAGTAGAAAATATTATTTTTTTAGTGTGTGTGCGTATTTCGAGTCACGTTACTGTTGTTCTCCTTTCTTTCTTTAAATTTTTCCTACACAAAATTATTTTTTTTAAACGAAAAATTTGAAAACCAAATCTTTTGGGGGGCTTTCTTAAGTTACGAACGAAAAAAAAATAAAACTCAAGAAGAAATCTCTTTAATCTGCCTTGCGTGGTTTACGTTTACGCACTTCTGTGGGACTAGGTTTATTGTTCTTCTCCTCCTGCTGCTGTTTTGCAGGTTGTTTTTTCTCACTCTCAGGTTCCTCGGACTCACTTTGTTTGTCATCATCTTCGGTTGAGGCATCCTCATCATTGCCAGCCTCTTCTTCATCCTCCTCCTCTTCTTCGCCGCCGTCTTCTTCTTCGTCGTCATCATTTTGTGGTGCATCATCTTCAATTTCATCATTGGCTATATCTTCAATGCCATTTTGTCCATTCTCCTTGGATTCGGAGAAACTTTGACGTTGATGTTTCTTGGGTGGATAAAGGAAATCGACAACACACACCAACATCAAGCCCAAGGCAGCACCCACGAAAATGGTACCAATGGCAAAGAGGGCATAAGAACCCCAAGTGGGCAGGCCATATTCTTCTTGTAGGCGGGCATTGAAATCCTTAAATGAATGTTGGATAAGCTAGAGATTAGTAAATGGGAATACACACATTTACAAAAACAACAACAACACACACATATGAGGTGAATGAAATACATAATGGGTGAAGGAATTGAAAAAAAAAAATTGTAATAATAAATTGGTTTAAAAATAAAAAATTGAAAAAACAATTTTTTAGCACATATTTTTAGTACACCATTTGGATTTAAATATTACAACAAAATTTTAGTACACGAATAGGCGATTATTTTTTTCATATTTTTAATACACCAATATGTTTTATTACAAAACTAAGGTTGGATTTTTAAAAAAAATATTTGTTTGGATCACAATTAGACGTTATTTTTTTTATAAAAAATATTTTTTAGTACACCAATCTTTTTTAAAAAAATATTTTTAGTACACCAATATTATAAAAAATTTTTTTTTAATACACCAATCTTTAAAAAAAATTTTTGGTAATAGGTGGGGATAATTAAAAAAATTTTTTTAATACACCAATCATAAAAAAAAATTTTTTAGTACACCAATCTAAAAAAAAATTTAGTACACCAATATTTTAAAATATATTTTTAGTACACCAATCTTTAAAAAAAATTAGTAGACCAATCTTTTAAACAATATTTTTTTAGTACACCAATCTTTTAAAAAAAATTTTTAGTACACCAATCTTTTAAAAAATATTTTTAGGTACACCAATATTATAAAAAAAATATTTTTTAGTGCACCAATCTTTAAAAAAAATATTATTTTAGTAATATAAAGTAATGGGTGAGGATATTTTAAAAAAATTTTTAGTACACCAATCTTAAAAAAAAATAGTACACCAATCTTTTAAAAAATATTTTTTAGTACACCAATCTTATAGAAAATATTTTTAGTACTCCAATCTTTTAAAAAAATATTTTTTAGTACACCAATCTTATAGAAAATATTTTTAAAAATCTTTTAAAAAAATATTTTTTAGTACACCAAAAGGTGAGGATTAAAAAATATTTTTAGTACAACAAAAAGGTGGGGATTTTTTAAAAAATACGCACATTAATGATTGGAGATTATTTAAAAAATATTTTTTAGTACACCAATTTATATATTATATATATATTTTTAGTACCCCTAAATGTTAAGATTTAAAAAAAGTATATGTATTTTAGTACACAAAATATTTTTTGATAAAAAAAGGAAATTCTTTTTAGTACTTTATACTGAATAAATAAATTGATATTGAATATGTAAAGTATGAAATCTGAAGTGAAGAAATTAAAATGATAACACTAAACATTTTCAAATAAATTTTGTTATCTGCTTACCTTCAAAGTGTGCGACAATTTAAAGAAATACGACAAAACGGACATGTGCACGGTATCGGGTTTTTTCCAGGCAGAGATTGGTTCCAATTTGGTCCATTGTTTTTGTTTGACAAAGAACATTAAGGCATCGCCGTCACGTGAGCCACGATATTGACGGAATTCACCATCTTTAACGCTAAAAAACAAATAATATACAATGTCAAAATATTAAGAAATACATAACAAATATTCAAACAGAAAAAAACAAATTATTCCATATAAAGCTCTGTGATCTTTATACGGAGTGATGATCTTTAAATACAACTATGATCTTTATATAGACTTTAGGTATCAATACAGAGCAATTAGTCCTTATATAGACCTAAGGTCTCTATACAGACGAATTGGTCTTTATATGGACCTTAGATCTCTATACAGGCCAATTGGTCTTTATATAGAACTTAGGTCTATATAAAGATCAATTGGTCTTTATATAGACCTTAGTACTCTATACAGACCAAATGGTCTTTATAGAGACCTTAGGTCTCTATACAGACCAATTGGTCTTTATATAGACCTTGGGTCTCAATACAGACCTTTGGTCACTATACATGTCTGTTGGTCTTTATAAAAAAGACTCTCGGTCTCTTATTATAAATTTAATAACCATATCCAGTACTAATCTCTTGATATAGTTCAAAATATTAACGCCCCCTATTTTGTAGGTAGATTTATTGCAATAGGGGTATATAAAATAATGTTTGTATCATAGAAAATAATTTGCTAATTAGTATTTGCTTTTATCTAAATATTAAATAAAAGATTTAAAAATTTTAAATTCCATATTCAATAATTCAAACTTACTGATAGATGGTTGGCAAGGCGGTGACAAAGAATCGCCCACTAAGAGAAGGCGACGTGGTTACATCAATTTTTGCAACATTCACATTAATATCAGCGGCTGTCGTTGCAAAACGTTCCCAGGTGGGGGCCAAATTTTTACATGCTGGACACCAGGGGGCAAAACTGCAATAAAAAATTAGCGACATAAATCAATACACAAAGGAAACAAAAAGATCAAAAATAAAATGCTGTTGTTTGTTTTGTAGTCACATCATGGTGGGTGTCTGTCTGGCAACTCTCTACCACATACATTGGCCAACACACACACACCGATACACGATAGTGAGTAAATCACATGCCCATTGTTTGATTTTTATGTTGTAAATTAACACAAGGGCCGATTTTCCATTCCTTTGTAAATTACCCAGACCACTAATTAATAATTACAACAACAACACAATCTCAACTTACAACTCCACCATCCATTCGCCCTTTAACATCAGCGACCAATTGTCTTCATTTAACTCAATTAATGATTTGGTGGATTTTTGTATTGTCTGCTGCTGCTCTGCCGCCTGGACAACAACAAAGCCAAGAATTATGACCAAAAACGCCCAATTGCGATTTGCAAATTTTTGCATTTTTAGGCGTGCTGTTTAGTACCGGTTCGACGATAATGTTCAGTCGCACAGTGCCACAATATCGGGGTGCAAAAATATTCTTGCGGAGATTCCAAATTTCACAATTTTTTTGTGAAAATTTGTGTTTCGTTTATCTGAAACCGGCCTGAAATTCTTATGACGTTTGGAAAAAAACTTATGACGAATAGATTAGTGATGGGGGCGAATGGTGGCGATAATGCTGGCATTCCGTAATCGATAACAATGAGGGCGATTAGTGTAAAAATCGATAAGGTTTGTAGAAATGACTTATAACGGGTTTGCACAAGGAAAATTTTTTGATGTGGCACATAAAAGCATGTCATTATTTATTGTAAACAATGAAAAGAGAACGGTGTTAAAAATTAAACTAGACTTTGATATTCCTTTATAAATTGACATTTAATACAAATGCACCTTAGAGTCTAAACACAACCAGATAATCAACGACGGTTGTTTACCGTGTGTTTCTTATTGGCAACGGGAAATCCCGACGACTGACGTTCGCGTCTAGTGGCTTGACGCTAGAATAGATTTTATTCATTTTTGCTCAGCGTCATACTCAAATTTTCTTGCAAAAATGCAATCAAAAAGGAAGAAATTTGGAAGAGCATTGCATTTTTTGAGTAGAACTTGTTATTAATAGTAAAAATGAACAATGTATAAATTTATTAACAAAAGAATAAGCAAATATGGTCTGTTCTCGTACTGCAAGAATCTAATGCTTTTTACTACGATAACGAATTTTCCTTTATGATATCGAAAAAAATAGTAAAATCTAGTAGATTCTTGCAGTACGGGAACAAACCAAAAATTTAGAAAATTGGAAAAAAAAAATTGAAAGTCAATGAATAAAGAACGATATAATTCAAAAATAATAAAATAATTATTGGTCTGTTCCCGTACTGCAAGAATCTACTACTTTTTACTACGTTAACGAATTTTCCTTTATGACATCGAAGAAAATAGTAAAATCTAGTAGATTCTTGCAGTACGGGAACAGACCAATTTTTATTCATGAATAGAGAATTATTTTCCAAATTTTCTAGACGTCTACGGCATAAGCAAAGCCACTGGAACAATTTGTAATTTATTGACATGAGGTACAAAGAAAAGCCTCGATTCTTATAACAGGAACCGCGAGGAGCGCCCCGCAAGCAGCTCTGAACACATTGCTGAACTTAAGGCCTCTGGGCCTCAGTATTACGTGTCAGGCCATGCGTAGTGCCCTAAAGCTGCTTTAACAAAATCTTTGGAGAAGTTGTACCTTTGGACATGGTTGTATCTTGAACGAACCAGATATGACATTGGACCAACGCGTAAAACTATGCTACTATATATCACCAGTCCTGAGCTTTGACGATGTAGATGTCGTTATTTCTAGTAGAGACGACTGGAACCGGACGGTCTGGCTTTCTATACAGACAAACCCAAGATGGAACAAGTACAGGGGCTGGGCTGTGAAAGGCTAGACTTTTAGCCTACCTACAAGCTAGATAGCAACTGTAGTGTCTGAAATCTTTGCGCTGGAAGGTAGCGGAATTGATAAAAAGTCTGGATGCAGAGATTGTTGAACCGGTGACAATCTTTGTGGATAGTCAAGCGGCTCTTAAAGCCGACAAATCCTGTTACATCAAATCTAAGGCCGTCCTCACTTTTGGAAGAATTTACATGCAGCTATCGGCTGTGTTGGGTACCAGGACACCGTGATATCATGGGTAATGAAAGATCAGACCAATTAGCTAGACGAGGATCTTAATCTACAGATCTAGCAATTGATGGCTCAATCAAACCACCAATATTTCATCTTTATCGGAACTTTTGATAAAGAGCCTATGAAATTTGGCATAACGAAACTAGGTACAATGTGTCAAGATCTATTTGGCCGACTCTGTCTACCAAAAATGACACACTCACTGTTGGAACTGAGCGAAGTTGAAATAAGAGTAGTGACAGGAATCATTACTGGTCATTGCCATATCAGGGCCTTTATCAGAAAATGGTAAACCATGGTATAATAATAGAAGGTAACAGCAAGTGTTGTTGTACAAAAAACGATACAACAACCACATGGAAATTTGTTGTTGTAAGTTCTACTAGTGTCAACTCATTTGACAGAAAAATGTAAACAAACAAATTATCATCAAATTATTTTTATTTTGAAAATGAAATATTTTCGAATCTTCAAAATAAAAATTGAAAAACATGAATGAAAATCTTTCAAATTTATATTCCTATCGCGTCCACATCTTTCCTTTAATTGTGCAATTGCCACATATATGTATAACACATATGAAAATGCTGGGAATAGCGAGTTATTCCTTGAAGAAAGATTTGCTTCCTGAAAATTTCCCAGCAGGTAGATTGAGTAAATTGAAAACGGGAGCACATTTAATAAAGAACAATTTCAAATTTTATGCGTTCCCAATTTTCCTGTTGGGTGATTTTTAAAAACATAATTTGTCAAATTCATATTGACACTAGTATTACGTTGGAATCAAATCAGCTGGGATTTGCTGTTACCTTTTATAATTGTACCATGATGGTAAACATGGCATAACACATTCCAAAGTCAAATGACATCATTGAAGTGATTATTGATTACTTCCACGTAACGTACGTTACGGTACTGACTAATTCTATATTGTATTTTGCCCCGTTTTGGCATCACTCACTGCTGACGCCGTTAACCATGTCAGCCAATACAAAAAGTCAAAACTCGATTTACATATCCCTACTCTTCAGGGATCGATCATTCTCGTTTCTTTTTTAAAAAGGAACTAGTTCCTTAATGTAGTTCCTTTGAACTATGTAATTACTTCATAATTAAGAGTCGAACCACGAATGAGAGAGGGAACAACGCTCGTCTCTACATGGCATTAGACTTTTCAATACAAAAAGTCGATTAATCGAAAGTCGATTTACTTATCCCTAATCATAATTTGCCTAAACCTCATTCGTAAACAACACGGTTTCCATTTAGTCCCTCTCCCACCTCATTCGTAAACTTTCCCTTATACCATTTTGAGTTCATCTTTATCGGCCATTTTGTCTTCTCCTCCCATTCGTTAGCAGGTGAAACGTTTTTCAATTTTTTCACTCGTCGTTTTTATTTTAGCTCCGTTCCAAAACCTAAAACCTCGAAAACCGTTCCTGAACCCATAAAACTGGTAAAGCATTGAATCAAATTTAAGAGAGCACAAAACAAAATGGCTTTCTCTTTGTAAACTTTTTGTTATGTTGATTTTGAAGTATTGCCATCTAATTTTGGCATATTTACTAGATTTGCGTTCCCGAACTTTTCAAATTATTTTGTACTCTGAGACTTGAAATGTTTCCCTTTTACTAGCATACTATTAAACAAGTGAAAAAGCGTTAAGTTCGGCCGGGCCGAACTTTGGATACCCTCCACCAGAGGTATACTGACAGGTATTTGAAATAAAAAAGTGTAAAAAATGTACAAAATTGCAGCGAATTCGGCTGAAAAGCGCGCTCAAGAACCCCAAAATACCGAAATTGGGGGTACCCTTATATGGGGGATATCCGAAAAAATTGACCTATATTTAAATTTTTTGTGGAGAGATTTGGTACCTGCTAAGAACTCAAAATACTAAATTACAGCCAATTCGGTGAAAAATACGATAAAAACCCAAAAAATACTGAAAATTAGGAGGTACCGTTATATGGGGGCTACAAGAAAAAGTGGACCTATATTTATAATTTTTTGTGGATACATTTACTACAAATTCGCTTGAAAAACGCGCTCAATAACCCCAAAATACCGAAAATTGGGGGGTACCCTTATATGGGAGCTATGCCTAAACGTGGACCGATATATCCCATCTTCGAACTTGACCTGCCTGCAGACAAAAGACAACCCTATGCAAAATTTCAGCACCCTATCTCAATTCCTTCAGAAGATAGCGTGATTACAACAGACGGACGGACATGGCTAGATCGTCTTAGAATTTTACCCTGATCAAGAATATATATACTTTATAGGCTCGGAAATGAATATTTCGATGAGTTACAAACGGAATGACAAAATTAATATACCCTCCATACTATGGTGGAGGGTATAAAAAGTACTGGAACAGACCATTTGTTGGCGAAGGTTTGCGTACGACGTCGCTTGAGTCTTGGCAGAACGACGATTAACAAGCGAATTTTATGAAGGCTGGAGTCTTGGAGGCTTCCCACTGTTCTTTTGAATCTCTCTCTCTCTCTCTCTTTTATTATTTTTTTTTCGTTTTTCCATATATAGTTCCTTTGCTCCATATGGTTCCTTTGATCCATATAAAACCTTTGCTCCATATAATTCCTTTAGTCCATACAATTTCTTTGCTCCATATAGTTCCGACTCCTACATAGTTCTTTTGAATCTCTCTCTTTCATCATTCTTTTTTTCGTTTTTCCATATATAATTCCTTTGCTCCATATAGTTCCTTTGCTCTTTATAGTTCCTATGCTCCATACAGTTCCTTTGCTTCAAATAGTTCAAAAAAGGAACTGGATCAGAGAAAGGAATTATATTAATTAATGAACTGGAACTAGTTCCGTTCGTTCCTTTCTCGGAATAGTTCCAATGAACTAGTTCGTTCCGGAACTACCAACTCTAGTATAGAGAATTTTTTCCTTTGTCGAGGTCGTTAGTTAGTCGTTGGTGGTAGCCGCAAAAAAAGAACGATTTCTTTTCTTATTAACAATAAAAATATATACAGAATATATATAACAACGGAAATTAAATACACAATTAACTCAAACGAAAAACGTAAGCATAAATTAACTCGTTAAAACAAACCCTTAATTAATAAAATAATTGAAAAAGAAAAATGCCAAAAATAACCCTGAAAGAAAGAAAAAATGTCATGTCGGTTGTGTGCTGTGCTGTTGTATGTGTGCGGCGTCGACGAAAAGAAAGAAAAAACCCTCGGTGGTGTTACGTTGACAAAATAAGTTTTGCTTTTTCTCGCTCTTTACTGTTTTAAGAAAAAATGCAAACTTTAAAGAAAATTTTCAGTGGAAAAAACAGACAAACATGTGCTTGCTCTAATTGTGGATTGTGAAAAAAGAAGTATTCAATATGGATGAAGAGACGATGCGGGTATTTTCGTTTCGGCTATTCGCTGCATTGAAGGCCAGCCGGTTATGCGCTGTGCTGTCGCGGTGATGACGTTGACGTCAGCGTCTCTGCAGAGCAATACGCAGTTGCAGTCGTCTGCATCGTGGTTTTCGTTTATTCGGCTGTTGGCACACAAAATACGACGGGATCGTTAACGTCAAAAAGACCTATTGTCTTGGTAATTTCGTCTAAGGCATAATGAACTACTGTCTCTAAATTCTAATCTGTAGAATTTTGAACAATTATTGGAGGTATACAAAAAGTGAATTAATTTCATTGTCGTGTCCGCGCCCCCCCTACGCGTATTTCGTATTTGTTACATGTAAGCCTCCAGGGCTTGAGGAAAATGTCACTGCCGTATTGGTTTTATGGCTTGTCTGACTTTTTCTTGTCGTGATTACGCGCGTGCATGCCTATTAGCCATGTTTGTGGTAAAATGTAATTATTTCCAATTGCAATAAAATATTTAATTATTTTTATTTATCGTTTTAGATTTCAAAACATCAATAGTGTTATATTTCAATCAGAAGAGCAATTTGTATTAAATTTTATAACAAAATTAATTTTGAGGGACGATTGATTCAATTGAAATTAAATTATTTCATGGTTGGTCACAACAAGCCAGTTTCAATATAGACATTTTTTTTTTGAGAAAAGTACAAGCTAGTTTCGAATTTTGGTAATTATTAGAATTATTTTTTTAATTATAGAGGTAATCAGTTTTTTTTTATCATATAGGTCTGAAATCAGCTGAAGTTGCTGTTATTTAATATAATAAAGTTTAGAGGTTGGCTTCCAGGAGTCAGTCCTCGGAGGAAACGAAATTTGTGTCAAAATAAAGTGACACTGTTAGAAAATGTCCATAGAACTGTACAAATACCCATACTGGGCGGCAGCATTATTTGGGGATTATGTCAAAACAAAGATAGTCTTGTTGATACCTTGACGTTTCTATTTTTCCAAGTCCTGCTGCTTTCAAACCATAAGTCAAATTCATATTCTTGAAGACATCAATACTAGCCTGGAGAGACACCGCCTTTTTCCACAATCTAATTGTGAAATGTGGCCTTTTCCGTATCAGTCAAGAAAGCATTTCAGCATTACATCTGGAATTATTATTCTTTGGTAGATGAGGATGACGCCAGAACACTACTGCGGTTAAAATAACTAATAGAGAGAAATATACCTTCATTAGAACTCTTGAATTATCTAAGAAATCTACACTTGGTTTGTCCTTGAAAAAAATATTTATAAAATCAATGCATTTCTAGTTCTTAGGTTAGGTTAAGTTAGGTTTAGGGATGTGCAGTCACTTATGTGGCTGTAGCACTCTGAGACCGTTAGGTCCGTTGTGATCATTCACGAGAAGAAAAGACATGAGGACAGATCTATAGGGGAGAGAAGATTGGGGAAATAGAGATGAGAAGCTTACAGAAAGATATAAGAAGGAAAGATCGGAATAATGTTGATGGCTATAGAGATCAGACAGAAGATATATTACGTGTCAAGGTTTCACTTTCCCAACCACTTTAGGTTTCTAATTATGCTGTAGATTAGAGCAGGTTCGGTTGTTAAGAAGAAGCTAAGATTCGGTGGAAAATGAGCACCCACTAGTCTGTGCCGCCTGTAAGCCAGGGCTGAACAGTGACACAGAAGATGCTCTATTGTCTCCGTCTCCTCCTCGTCAACGCAAAGTCTACAGTAATCAGTAACATAATGGTCCCATTTATTGGTAATGGCCCTGATATTTCAATGACCAGTAATGATTCCTGTCATTAATCTTATTTCAGCTTTGCTCAAGTTCAAAAGTGAGTGCGTTCTTTTGGTAGACAGAGTCGACCAAATGGATCTCGACACGTTGCACCTAGTGTCTTTTTGCCAAAATTCATAGGATCTTTTGTCGAAGGACGCCTCAAAGTTCCGGTAAAGATATTAGAAGGTTTTGGGGTTTTCTATTACATAACCTTCCATCAGGTGACCTTTGGGATATTTTATTTGAAAGAAATTTGGAGTATTCAAATAGAATGCCATTGGATTCTTCTACTAGACGAGCTTTGAGTCTTCCTATAGAAGACATTTTTGGATCTTCTATTTTTTTATATTTGGGCTCCTACATTACATTAGTTTAAGGAGACTGCGACATTTTTAATATTGAATTAAAACAAAAAAGGTATATTCCACTTCTTCTTTACTATTTTAGGAACGTATTGTCTTTTATGTTTACTGGAATTATTTATTTTACCACAAACTCAGCCGGTTATCGCGGTATACGGGCGTAAACTTTCGTCTACCATGATCGAACGGTTCGATCAAACGAGCGGTTTCGTCAAAAAAGTGGGGAAAACACCCTAACACATGTACGAAAATAAAAATCATCCATGGAACTCTGGACTAATGCAATCCAAGGCTTATGAAAAAACAGCCATTTTAAACTAAAAATTCTACACAAAATTTAAAAAAAAAAAAAAAAAAAAAAAAAAAAAAAAAACAAATTGGCTTTAATCACTCCCAAAAAAAAAAGTGTCTCAAATTCTCATACAATATTCAATGTGTTATATATAACATATCCACAAAAAAAAATCAAAGATAATATAATAAAATACATAAATATATAATAAAAAAGAAAAAAAATATAAATATATTAACCTCAAGCTATACTCCATTATATATAACAAAAAAGTCTATATGAAAAAGCTTTTATTCTAATTTGTGATCTGTATATTTTTACAGCCTTTTTGTTGTTGTTGTTCCTATGCAAAAGCAAAAAAATATTTAAAAAATAATCCAAAACCAATCTTCTTGTTGTAATAGTGAGTGCAATAAAAATTCCAAAACATATCGGGTTTTTAAACAATTTTGAAAAACGTCGTCGCGTTTTATAAGGCTTACGGTAAAAAAGCGCGCTGCTTAGCTAAGCTTCTTTTCTAAAAGAAAAAAAGAAAACGGCGACATGTCGTCTAGTTCGCGTCGTCGTGGCGGCGGCGGTGCTATGGAAATGAATTCCAAATTACACATGGATCGTCAACCGACTGTAACCAGAATAAATGGTTTGTTTGTTTGCTGCTTTTGTTGCCTTACCCTTTCTTTATTTAACTATTTGTTAATAATTTTTTTATTTTCTGTTTATTTTCTTTTTGTTTTTCCATTTTCCTCATTTTTTGTAACTCCATTATACCCCATCACCATTTGCAGATCCCTCATTGCCGGCTGGAAAACGTCGTGAAATCGATAACGTCATGAAAAAGGCACGAGCCAACACCAACGACTATTGGGACAAAAAACTATTGGAAGTTGAGGAAAAGGATCCGAATCGTTGGCGTCATACAGGCTACAAGAAAATGTACATCCAAGGAGAAAGCAGTTCGGGTGAAAGTGATCGTGAGGGAGGAGGTGCTGGTGGCGGTGATAGAGGTGGTGCCGCCGGTAATGGTTATCGCGGTTATAACTCTTCATCCGGTGGTGGTGGCGGTCCACCACCCATAACCGGTCGTTATGGTCGTTCGCCACGTTCTCGGTCGCCGCGTTCACGCAGTCGTTCACGTTTGCGCAAAACCCCACCACAATCACCGCCAATGCGTCGCCGTTCACCTCCACCGCCGCGTGATATCGATCGTATAAATCGTAATCGTGTATCGTCGCCACCTTCGTCAATGGATGGCCGTGACCGGGGACGTCCTCGTTCACCACCATATCGTGGACCGCCGCGTTCACCCTCCGACATGGGTAGCGGTAGCCGTCGTCTTCCGCCAATCGGTGGTGGAGGTAGTGGTGGTCGTCCGCGTTCACCACCAGAACCTCCGATGCGTCGTCGGAATTCGCGTTCGCCCATTGATCGTGAACGGGATCGTCGTCGTGTTACACCGCCTAATATGAGCAGTGGTAGTCGTCGTCGTACACCACCACCGCCGGTTTTGGGTCGCAGTAGCGGTGCGGATATTCCCTCGAAGTCGAGAGGACAAATATTGCCACGTTCAAAGAGGCCACCATCACCACCACCTAGGGTAAGTTCTGAGGAATCGATCTCTTTTATTTAGAAATTGTTTTGAAATATGTTTTTCCTTTTTCACCTCTTTACAGTCGTCTTGTCGTTCGCGTACCAACAGCTCGGTTAGCAGTTGCTCTGATGATTCGTGTTCGGTTTGTTCACCCAGTCATCGTCATCGATCTCGGTGAGTTTTTTTTTTTCAAATAACAAAATGAATTTTCGAAACAAGAAGACCCCAAAGGCCTCTAATAGAAGAACCCAAAGTTCTCCTAATAGATTATCTCAAAGATCTCCTAATAGATGACCCCATAGGTCTAATAGAAGACCCCAATAAATCTGCAAGTCTTCTGATAGATGACTTTCAAGGTCTTCTAAAGTTTTCTGATAGAAATCTTAGAAGTTGTTCCTTTAAGAGATCCAAAATCATTCCTGCTGAAGATCTTCTTATGGAAGACCCTAAAGTTAATCTTAAAAAATACCGTAAAGTTCTTCCCACTGAAGATTCTCAAAAGTCTTCTTATAGAAAACCCTGAATATCTCCCAATCGAAGACCCTGAAAATCTGCCTACAGAAACCCTGAGTGTGTTTCTAAAAAATAACCTGAATGTCTTCGTATAGAAGACCCTGAAGGTCATTCTATATAAAGCCCTGAAGATCTCTATCGATGATCCCGAAGGTCCTTCTGTCGAAGATCCTGAAGGTATTCCTATAGGAGACCCTGAAGGTCTCTCTATAGAAGACCCTGAAAGCCTGAAGATCTTCCTATCGAAGATCATGAAGGTCATTCTATTGAAGATCCCGAAGATCCTTCTATCGGAGATCCTGAAGGTATTTCTATAGGAGACGCTGAATGTCTTCGTATAGAAGACTCTGAAGGTCATTCTATAAAAAGCCCTGAAAATCTTCCTATCGAACATCCCGAAGATCTTCCGATGGAAGTTCATGAAGGTCCTTCTATCGAAGATGCTGAAGGTATTTCTATAGGAGACCTTGAAGGTCTCTCTATAGAAGACTCTGATATTCTTAAGGAAGACCTTGAAGGTCTTCCTAAAGGATATATTGAAGGCCTTCCTAAAGAAGATCCTGAAGGTCTTCGTAAAGAAGACCCTGAAGGTTTTCCTAAAGAAGACCCTGAAGGTCGTCGTATAAAAGATCCTGAAGGTCTTCCTAAGGAAGATCCTGAAGATGTTCCTATAGTAGACCCTGAAGGCATTTCTATATAAGACCCTAAAGATATTCCTATAGAAGGCCTTGAGGGACTTCTTAAAGAATATCCTGAAGGTCTTCCTATAGAAAACCCTGAAGTTATTTTTATTGAATACCTTAATGATCTTCTATTGGACCCGATTAAAGTTAACAATTATTATTTTGTTTTATTTGCAGTTCAATTTCTATGCATCGTCCGCCCCGCGAACGTGGACCTCGTTCGCCACCACCAAAATCATCATCTCGTTCGCTGCAATATCATCGCGGTGCCGTACCGCCATCCTCTTCGTCCTCGACCTCCACAAGTGGCCGTGTAGCGGTGCGTCCCAGTTCACCACCACGTAGTTCCGATCTTGACAAATATCAACGGGAAATGAATGTGCGACGGATTAGTCGTCAGCGTAGTATTGATGGTCACGTTTCCGATGGACCTGTTAAGGTAAGGACTAGTCGTCATTCACCGCTTGAAGATCCGCGTTTGAAAAATCGTCCACCTGAGCCACCAGAGCCCACACCCGCCACAGTGGCTCCTGTCAAGAAGAAGAAAAAGGAAAAAGAGGTAAGTTGGAGAATTTCAATGCGGGTTAAATAACAGTTTTTAACCAGTATTTCTTTTTTTGATTTACAGTTACGCACACGCATCAAAATCGAGGGTGAAAAACGTAAAAAACACTCCTCATCCGAATCGGATGATTCCGGTGGTTCAGATTCCGATGAAACTCCGCTGCCCACATTTACCGCCACAACGCGTCTTACGTTATCGGAACGTTTCGGAAAAATGGCCCAATGGTCCATCGATCGCAGTAATATGGAAAATATGCGCATAACCAAGGATTCAGCGGGTGGCGCCCTGAAGGTTATGATCGAAGAAGGCCTTGAATCTCCGCCGCGTCGTTATTCGTATTCACCGGCACCGGTTGGTCATTTTCCCGAGGAATTGGCAACAACAGCACCGTCGGGTATGCTGTCGTGGGATGATGTACGTGTCCGCTATGATTATTATAAGTCGCGTGGCTATTTGAGAGATTTGGATTTGAAGGTAGGATGGGTGATGAATATTTGTTTAATGGGATTTGAATTTATTTTATTATTATTTTCTTTTGCAGGACTACATAAAATGGGAAGAATGGTGGTATAAATATCAGGAGTGGCTTAAACATGAACGTTACTATGAATATTGGGAACGTCAACAGCTTGCCCGCCAACGTAGACGTAAAAAGTTACCCATTACCCAGAGACTCAATTAAATAACAGAAATAAATAGGAACTTTGACTACTATTCGGTTTTAGTCTTGTAATCAATATCAAATGTTACTTTGACTCCTTCTACATTTGAAAACAAAAAGTATTCATGCCAGAGGCGATTTTATAACTACAATTAGTTTTTTGTAGTAAGCAGCCAAGCCAAACACCCTTTTAGATTTTATGTAAATTATCTTAACTTTTCGAATGTTGTTCGGCTGCCCTGCCCGGTGAAACAGAAGTTGTCGTCTCTTATGTTAATGCAATAATGGTTTGTAGACTCCTATCTAGACCCATTTACAAATTCACATATATACATACATTTCTGTGTACATTTTGAATGTATAATGAAACAAGAAAAGAACATTTATTTCTTCTTTTTGTAATTTTAGTCTTTAATTTAGTTTCTTTTCGATATATATTTCATCATCTAATACAAACTATCATGGAAAGGCTTATTTAATTTGGTTTTTCTTAATTATAATCTTGATGAAAAGAAGATTTATGAATAGTTTTAGGTAAATACACACACACATTTTTTTATAATATAAATAATAATTTTATTGTAAGAAAAGAACAAAAAAAAACCTTAAAAGAAAAAAATACATTTAATAAAAATGCAATTATTATGAACAAATAATATATACAGCTAGCTACACATGCAGATGTAATGGAAATCAAATCGTTTAAATCGATTTGATTTTCATTGGGATTGTGTAAATTTTATTTTTTATAATTCTAAACAAAAGTGAGGTGATTTATGGAAAATAAAATACCCAAAAGGCCTGCCTTATGGAAGATCCATAGCAGGATACGAATGTTAATATAAATGAACTATCAAAAGTATAACAGAATACCCTAATGTCTTCCAATAAAAAAGCTATAATTTCTCCTAATAGAAGACCCAAAAGCCATCTATTAGTAGACCCAGAAGCCTCAAAATTCTCCATAAGGTCACCTAATAGAAGACTACTTATAAAGAACTATCAAAAGTATAACAGAAGACCCTAAATGTTTTCCAATAGAAAACCTATAATTTCCCGTAATAGAAGACCCAAAAGTCTTCTAATAGTAGACCCAAAATTCTCCATAAGGCCTAATAGACTCATGACGACTTCTAATAGAATACCCATAAAATCTAATAGAAACCCAAGGTCTTCCAATAGAGACTTTTAATAGAAGATCCAAAATATCTACAAATAGAAGACCATATAGAGATCTGAAACATTACAGTTCAGTGTTCTTTATTGATTCGCACAGTGCAGATGTTGCAAATATTCGGATCGCCATGTAGTAGTTGTAATTGAAAAAAAAAATGTTGTTGCCTATACTAAGCTTTCCAAGCTAAACTTCAGACTTGTCACCAAAGCTTTAATTTACATGAATATTGCCAATTCCTTTTGCCTTTAAAGAGTTGCCAATCGTTACAGGGATACATATATATAAAGCTTTTCGAGACTATCTAAAAGCTTTAATGGCAGATGGTATCTTATGAACATCTTTTCATTGCGAGAATTGCTCATAGATGGCGCTAGGGGTATCCAGAATGTCTTAGAGAAAATTTGGCTTGGATTTAAAAAAAAATATATATTTTTTAAAGGCGTGGATTTTTATACCCACACGGTGGTACAGGCTATTATGTCTTTGTGTATATGTTTGTAACATGCCAAAGGAAACGAGATATACCCATGCATAGAATCACTTTTTGAGTCGATTTATGCATGTCCGTCAGTCTGTCCGTCTGTAGATGTTATTACAATTTACAGGTCGCATTTATGATCCGATTTGGATGAAATTTGACACAAGTCACTTAGTTAGCCCAAGGACGAACCCTATTGAAATTGAAGAAAATCGGTTCAGATTTAGATATAGCTACCATATATATTTTCGTCCGATTTTTATAAATTGTGCACCAAAGTGCCTATATATCTTTCGATTTGCCCAAAATTTGGCACGGTGTATTCAATTGAGTCTAGAATGACGTGTGTTAAGGTTCGTGAAAATCGGTCCAGATTTAGATATAGCTCCCATATATATTTTCGTCCGATTTTATGTAAATTGTGCACCAAAGTGCCTATATATCTTTCGATTTGCACGAATTTTGGCATAGCGTACTGATTAAAGTCTTGAATGATGAGTGTTAAGTTTCGCGAAAATCGGTTTAGATTTATATATAGCTCACATATATATTTCCGTCCGATTGGTGCACCAAAGTCCCTGTATATCTTTCGATTTGCACGAAATTTGGCATAGGGTACTGAATGAGGTCCAGAATGACGTGTGTTAAGTTTCGTGAAAATCGGTTCAGATTTAGATAACAGCTCCCATATATATATTCGTCCGATTAAAGGTAAATGGTGCACCAAAGTCCCTATATATCTTTCGATTTGCACGAAATTTGGCATAGCGGACTGCATTGAGTTTAGAATGATGTGTGGTAAGTTTCGTGAAAATGGGTTCAGATTTAGATATAGCTCCCATATATAGTTTCGTCCGATTTAAGTTAAATGGGACACCAATGTCCCTATAGATTTTTCGATTTGCAGGCAATTTGGCATAGAGTTCCGAATTAGTTCCAGAATGATGTATGCTAAGTTTCGTGAAAATCAGTCCAGATTTAGATATAGCTCCCATATATATATTTTCGTCCGATTTAATATAAACGTTACAACAAACACCCTATATAACTTTCGATTTCCAACAAATTTGCATAGCGTAATGAATTGAGTTTAGAATGAGGTGTGTTAAGTTTCGAGAATATCGGTAGTGATATAGATATAGGTCCCACATATATATCATCGTCCGATTTTAGGTAAATGGTGCACCAAACTCCAAATGTTTGTCCGATTGACACGAAATGTTGCACAACGTGACATATATATTTCTCACGGGTGTCTGATTAAGACTATATTTTTAACAGTGCGGCATACTGAGTAACGTGCATCAAGTTTGATATAAATCGATTTCCATAAATTTGTCCCATTGTACGGAAACGATTCTAAATCTGTCCGATTGAAATTAAATTTAGCATAGGTTGCAGAAAGGTGTATTTTCCTTCGAGGGAACATTGACATGGAATACAATATACATAAAGTGGTAAAGGGTACGATATAGTCGGCCCAGTCCGACTTTACTACTTTCCTTACTGTTTAAAAGATATTATTTAAGAGACCTCTAGGAGACCTGAAGAACCCATGCATTTTTTGAAAATATTTTTTAGAGACCCATATATGCCGTGGATTTTTTTAAAAAATACAGTTTTCAGGGTACAACTACCACGCTAAAATATTAATGCCAAATCTTTATTCCCATGTATCTTGTTCATTATCCTATTTGTAGGATTTTGTTGTTGTTCTTTTTTTTTGAGAAGGTGAAAGGCTGTGAAAATAGATTGAAAAAAACATTTCCACACGCATCACACAAACACATTCATCTTTTTCGGCGAATATGTTATCCCTAGCAACCAATAATACTACAACAATGGAAAATAATCTACCTCCCCCTATTTTATTTACATTCAATTCCGCGTCATGTTTTGTTTGCCAGGATATTGTGGGGAAGGAGCTTTTTTGAGGGTGAGTAGAAGGCAAAGAAAGAAAAACTGGTATAAAATTTCAATTTATATGCAACCAAACAATTTTTTTTTGGAAAATGACTTTCTTTTTTGCTGGCTGACTGTGTTCCCAGCTATGTCGGGGTTGAGCTTCGAGCGGGTTCCAATGGCGGCAATATTATTGTGATGTGTTATTTTAATTTACTCCCGATATGTTTACCAATAGCGTGACTAATATTTAGCTGATATGTGTACGTGTGCATATCATTGAATCCCTACCTAGCTGGCTCATCTTCTTCTTCCTGGTCGTCGTACCTTTTCGGTTTTTTTTTCCTTGGAATCCTATTATTTGTCAAGGTGTCATATTGTTGAAGAAAATTCGCCGACAGCTTCATATGCATATGATCGGAATATATCTGCATAATTTTTTCTTTGTAGGTGGTGGTTTTCTAATGAGCTCCGAATGATGTTTGGTGGAGGTGTGGGCGATTATAATGACGATGGTGGGAGATGGTAATTGGCAACGTGTCGAATTTGTTAATGATTTTTTTTTGCTTGCGGAATTCAATTAATATGCTAAAATCATCTATTATTTCGAAATTCATTGTAATTGTGGAATAATTTAGTAGGGGAGTTATATTTGTCGGGGGTGAGGGTGTGACATATTTTTATATTAACTTCAGCGGGAAATCAGGTGTCATATGGTCCTTGAGAAAATATTTTTAAAAAATCCACGCCTTGAACAGGTCCCTAAAAAAATATTTTTAAAAAATCCACGCCTTGAACAGGTCCCTAAAAAAATATTTTTAAAAAATCCACGCCTTGAACAGGTCCCTAAAAAAATATTTTTAAAAAATCCACGCCTTGAACAGGTCCCTAAAAAAATATTTTTAAAAAATCCACGCCTTGAACAGGTCCCTAAAAAATATTTTTAAAAAATCCACGCCTTGAACAGGTCCCTAAAAAAATATTTTTAAAAAATCCACGCCTTGAACAGGTCCCTAAAAAAATATTTTTAAAAAATCCACGCCTTGAACAGGTCCCTAAAAAATATTTTTAAAAAATCCACGCCTTGAACAGGTCCCTAAAAAATATTTTTAAAAAATCCACGCCTTGAACAGGTCCCTAAAAAATATTTTTAAAAAATCCACGCCTTGAACAGGTCCCTAAAAAATATTTTTAAAAAATCCACGCCTTGAACAGGTCCCTAAAAAAATATTTTTAAAAAATCCACGCCTTGAACAGGTCCCTAAAAAAATATTTTTAAAAAATCCACGCCTTGAACAGGTCCCTAAAAAAATATTTTTAAAAAATCCACGCCTTGAATAGGTCCCTAAAATTTTTTTTTAAAAAATCCACGCCTTGAATAGGTCCCTGAAAAAATATTTTTAAAACATCCACGCCTTGTATAGGTCCCTAAAAAAATATTTTTAAAAAATCCACGCCTTGAACAGGTCCCTAAAAAAATATTTTTAAAAAATCCACGCCTTGAACAGGTCCCTAAAAAAATATTTTTAAAAAATCCACGCCTTGAACAGGTCCCTAAAAAAATATTTTTAAAAAATCCACGCCTTGAACAGGTCCCTAAAAAAATATTTTTAAAAAATCCACGCCTTGAACAGGTCCCTAAAAAAATTTTTTTAAAAAATCCACGCCTTGAACAGGTCCCTAAAAAAATATTTTTAAAAAATCCACGCCTTGAACAGGTCCCTAAAAATATATTTTTAAAAAATCCACGCCTTGAACAGGTCCCTAAAAAAATATTTGTAGAATTTTTTTCGGAAAGTTTTCTTTTTTTATTTTTCTAATTTGAGAATAATCAACCTTAAACTTGAATCTGCAAAAAAATAAAAAATTAGAACAAACAAATATCTGTTCTTATCAGCAGCCAGCCGCAGGCAGATGCTGATAGAGATGCCTGATTTGCATTATCTCTTCGACAAAAAAAAAAATAATAATAAATATCTGTTTGTCCAAGTGTCTAGCTGGGAAATTTTAAAAACTAAATGAAATTAGTTTCATTTCGGAGCTTCATCGACTTAGACGCTTCTAAAATCTCTTCACAATGGCTGAGAAGGTAATTTTGGCCTATTCCGGTGGTCTGGATACATCGTGTATTTTGAAATGGCTTTTGGAGAAAGGCTACGAAGTGATTTGCCTTATGGCCGATGTCGGTCAAAAGGAAGATTTTGAGGCTGCCAAGCAGAAGGCCATGAATATCGGAGCCACCGATGTTGTGGTCAAGGATGTAAAGGAGGATTTTGTTCGCAACTACATTTGGCCGGCCATTCAAATGGGTCTTATCTATGAGGAACGTTATCTGTTGGGTACCTCATTGGCCCGTCCCTGTATCAGTGTGGCCTTGGTAGAGGCTGCCAAAAAATATCAGGCCAAATACATAGCACATGGTGCCACGGGTAAGGGTAATGATCAGGTGCGCTTTGAACTCTGTGCCTATGCTCTGATGCCGGAAATTAAGGTGAGCTAAAAACGTAACAAACCCCTTCGAATCAAAAATAACTGATAAGCTTATTTCATTCATTTACAGATCATTGCCCCCTGGCGGGATGATGAATTCTGTCGTCAATTCCAGGGACGTTTGGATCTCATTGAATATGCCAAATTACATAATATACCAGTGACGGCCAAGCCTGCCACCCCTTGGAGTACAGATGCCAACATTTTGCATATTAGCTACGAATCGGGTGTGTTGGAAGATCCCAATCATATTGCACCCGAATCGCTATATGAAATGACCAAAGACCCTTTGACTCAGGCACCCAAGGAATCGATGCGTCTTACCATAACTTTTGAAAAAGGTTTGCCGGTGATGTTGAACGATAAGCCCCAATCGCCATTGGAAATTTTGGAAATCTTAAATTATGTTGCGGGGTCATATGGTATTGGTCGCATCGATATTGTGGAGAATCGTTATGTCGGCTTGAAATCAAGAGGTGTCTATGAGACACCTGGTGGTACAGTGCTGTTCCAGGCTCATCAAGATTTGGAGGTGTTCTGTTTGGATAGAGAGGTGAGTGAGATAATATTTTTTTTTAAATCCACGTCTTTAAAGGGTCTCTAAAAATATTTTTATAAAAGCCCTCAAGAGGTCCCTAAAAATATTTTTTAAAAAATCCATGCCTTCAAAGGGTCCCCAAAAATATTTTTTTAAAAAATCCATGCCTTAAAATGATCTTTAAACCAGTAAGGAAAGTAGTAAAGTCGGACTGCGCCGACTATATGATTTTGGTACACCATCTACCTTAAATCGGACGAAAATATATATGGGAGCTATATCTGAATCTGAACCGATTTTCAGGAAACTTACTACTCGTCATTCTAGCCTCAATTCAGTACGCTATGCCAAATTTCGTGCAAATCGAAGGGTACAAAGGGACTTTGGTGCACCATATACCTAAAATCGGACGAAAATATATATGGGAGCTAAATCTGAATCTGAACCGATTTTTACGAAACTAACTACTCATCATTTTAGCCTCAATTCAGTACGCTATGCCAAATTTCGTGCAAATCGAAAGATATATAGGGACTTTGGTGCACCATTTACCTTAAATCGGACGAAAATATATATGGGAGCTATATCTAAATCTGAACCGATTTTCAGGAAACTTAACACACATCATTCTAGACCTAATTCATTACGCTGTACCAAATTTCGTGCAAATCGAAAGATATATAGGGACGTTGGTACACCATTTACCTTAAATCGGACGAAAATGTATATGGTAGATATATCTAAATCTGAACCGATATTCGGGAAACTTAACACACATCATTCTACACCTAATGCATTTCGATAGACCAAATTTCGTGGAAATCGAAATATATATAGGGACTTTGGTACAATATTTACAATAAATCGGACGAAACTATATATGGGAGCTATATCTAAATCTGAACCGATTTTCTCGAAACTTTGCACACATCATTCTGGACCTAATTCAGTACTCTATGCCAAATTTCGTACAAATCGAAAGATATATAGGGACTTTGGTACACCATTTACCTTAAATCGGGCGAAAATATATATGGGAGCTATATCTAAATCTGAACTGATTTTTCCCATTTTCAATAGGGTTCGTCCTTGGGCCAATTAAGTGACCTGTGCCAAATTTCATCCAAATCGGATGCATTAATGCATTTCGATATGGCAAATTTCGTGGAAATCGAAAGATATATAGGGACGTTGATACACCTTTTACCTTAAATCGGACAAAAATATATATGGGAGCTATATCTAAATCTGAACCAATTTTCACGAAACTTGGCACACATCATTCTGGACCTAATTCAGTACTCTGTGCCAAATTTCGTGCAAATCGAATGATATATAGGGACTTTGGTGCACCATTTACCTTAAATCGAACGAAACTATATATGGGAGCTATACTTAAATCTGAACCGATTTTTCCCATTTTCAATAGGGTTCGTCCTTGGGCCAATTAAGTGACCTGTGCCAAATTTCATCCAAATCGGATCATAAATGCGACCTGTACTTTGTTAACAAAAATACATGGACGGGCGGACAGACGGACATGCATAAATCGACTCAGAAAGTGATTCTATGCATATTCTCAAAAGGAACCATGGGTATATCTCGAAATTTTTTGCCTGTTACAAACATATGCACAAAGACATAATACCCTGTACCACACTATGGTGAAGGGTATAAATATGACCAAAACCTCCAAAATACTGAACATTAGGAGGTACCGTTATATGGGGTGTACCAGAAAAAGTGGATCGATATTTATAATTTTTACTGGAGATATTTGGTACCCAATAAGAACCCAATGTAGAACATATCAACGAATTCTGTTATAAAACGCGCTCAAGAACCCCAAAATACCGAAAATTGGGGGGTACCCTTATATGGGAGCTATGCCTAAACGTGGACCGATATAACCCATCTTCGAACTTGACCTGCCTGCAGACAAAAGACAACCCTTTGCTAAATTTCGGAACCCTATCTCAATTCCTTTAGAAAATAGCGTGATTACAACTAGATCGTCTTAGAATTTTACCTCATCAAGAATATATATATATATATACTTTATAGGGCCGGAAATGAATATTTCGATGGTGGTACTATGGTGGAGGGTATAAAAATTCACAAGTTTGAAGAGACCCAAAAGAAATATTTTTAAAAAATTCTCACCTTTTTTTTAGATCCAGACTTTTTTTATTCACGAAGTTCCGAATTATTTATATATTCCATCTTATAGATATCCCCATTAATTTATTTTTCTCACTCTCTCATCTTTTCCTTTCCCAGGTTTTGCGCTGCAAACAATATTTACGCGATCGCATGACCGATTATGTTTACAATGGCTTCTGGTTTAGTCCCGAAGCCAATTATGCCCGCCAGTGCCTGGAATTGTCACAGGCCAATGTTAATGGCCAAGTGACAATGGAATTGAGACCGGGTTATTGTATAGCTGTCGCCCGTAAAGCCACCAGCAATGCATTGTACAATCAGGAGCTGGTGTCAATGGATGTCCATGGTGGTTATGTGCCACGTGATGCTTCCGGTTTTATAGCTATCAATTCGGTGCGCCTTAGAGAACATGTACGAGCATTTGGAGCATATGAAGTTAAAAAGTAATAAAGATGGCAAAAAAGCAAAAAAAACAAAAACAACAAAAGAAAAAAAATTGAAAAACATTGAAAAAATTGAAAAATTGCCAACTATTGTTAACTTGCAGTTTTAAAAGTTTTTTTGTTGGTTGGTTGGCTTGTTACGCTCGGGGCCAAAGTAAGTATGCTTTTGCAACACAATTTCTAGTTTGTGTGCAGCAGAAGGAAGGCCAGGCGAGAGGTAGGGGGGTTGGTGTGTGCAACCGGATGTATGATGATGTTAGTTGGTTGGTTTCTTTCTCGTCATTCTTGGTTGTTCGGATTTTTTATTGACCATAGCAAAAATTCATTGGAAAATTTTATTGGTTGGCCATTTCGAGAATCAATAAATTCTGGTGGCAGGGTGGAGTGTGGGGGTTAAGTTTGACTTTCCCAAGATTTTTTTGTTGTCCGCTTGGTGGTCAATATTTTGTGTATATATTCAGCAATCGTCACGTAATCAATCAAATACTTGATTGGTGTACGAAAATCATTACTTTCCTCGAGAACTCGAACCAAGTTACTAGTTGACTGTATTGTAAGGAGGAGGGGAAGCAGGAGCAGTAGTAAAAAGGGGGGAGGAGGTTAATTTCCCAACTTTTTTTTGTTCTTGCTGCTTGTTGATGGCCCGGTCTTTTATTATATGGCGTTGATGTGTGTGGTAAAAAACTTTTAACGCCTTCTTTGACGTGGCGCCCAACAAAAAATTGCTTTGTCAGTACCTTTTAATCGAAGCCAAAAAAGTGCGGAAAAAATGAACACACACACACACTCAAAACGATGAAAGTCAAATTGATAAAGTCGTATAGAATGGAGACCATGTAGCTATCATATGTTTTGGATTTTTTGTTGTTGTTGTTGCTGCTGTCAAACACTAATGAAACAAAAGCCTGTCAAATTTGTCAGTCAGTCAGCCAGTCAGTTGGCAAAGTTAATAGCTCTCCCTCGTTTTAGCTCGCCTTGCTCAATCAGGCAATTGTTAGACTAACTAATGGGAGATTTGAAATGGAAAAAAGAGGAGAAAAAAACCTGATCAAAGAAATAGATTTTACATAAAGAAAACATGATTGCAGGGTGGATTTAAAAAACACGATTTTTAAGAACCTCCTTCCTGAGTTTTTTTCTATAGGAGGTTATATACAGGATCCATAGAACGTGCTCTATACGACAATATAGAAAATTTTGCATTTTGAAGCTAAAATTGTATTTTGTTATAAGGTAAATACCTTTTGGCCCCTTAAAGTTGGGCGCCATCTTCATGTGAGATGCTCGGAGATTATTCTATAAAACATCAACGTCTTAGAGAGTGCTTACAGATTAAATTATAAAAAATATAAAAAATTTTCCCCTTCAAGCTGGCTCAGTACTTGATTATAAGGTAAATACTTTTTGACACGCTTGTACACCCACGTTGGGCGCCATTGAAATCATATTCGAGTGTGCTCACAAATTATGCTATAAAATATCGAATGTATATAAAATTTTCATAGAAGAGCTGAAAGTCTTCTTCTTCATAGAAAAGCTGAAGATCATCTTCTTCATAGAAGAGCTGAAGGTCTTCTTCATGGAAGAGCTGAAGGTATTTTTCTTGCTTACAGAAGAATTGACGGTATTCTTCCTTATTGAAGAGCTGCATGTTTTCTTCATCCCTATAGACAAGCTGAAGGGTTTCTTCTTCCTCAAAAACATCTGAAGAGTTTTTCATTCCCATAGAAGAGCTAAATGTCATTAAAAAAGAGCTGAAGGCCCTCATAGAAAAGCTTCGTAGAAGAGTTGAAGGTATTTTTCTTCCGCTGAAGGTCACATAAGTACGATAGCTCACCTAGATCATCTTCATAGAATATCTGAAGTTAACCTTCGTCTTCATAGAAGAGCTGAATGTCTTCTTAATAGAAAATGTAAAGGTCTTCTTCTAATTCACAGAAGAGCCGAACGACTTCTTCCTCATAGATGAGCTACCTAAGGTTTTCTTCATAGAAGACATGGTGGTGGTTTTCTTGTTTCTTTTTTCTTTTTTGGAGGGCGAAAGACATCTTCGTCGAATATTTTAAATAAAAGATCTTATTTTTGATACAGTCCCCATATATATATGAGTTGGTATTAGATTGTAAAGTAAATACTTTTTGACCAATTTATATTGGGCGCCATTTTCGAGTGTGCTCAGAACTTATGCTATAAAATAACATATATATAAAATTCCTGATATGTTATTTAATTATGAGGTAAATACTTTTCAACCAACTTATACACCAATGTTGGGCGCCATTAAAAATAATTTTCGAGTATGCTTACAGACTATGCTATACAAAATTAAATACATATAAAACCAGTGCTCGGAGCAGTATAGTCGGACGTGGCCGATCAAACGATAACCTACACAACTACCACGAAACTCTAACTTTCTGCGGATTTGTATTCCGATCCTGGACAATATTTCGTGATAGTTGTGCCTTCTTGGCCGATTAGAGGTCAACAGCACCTCTTCCTTTCACTGACATATTTTCGGAATATTACCAATATTCAGTACAGTCCTTCTAATTACTTGCCCCCTTCCCCTTACTTGTATTCCCTTCACCGTGGGTTGTGTTGTTGTGGCCTATAGATTCACTCGAAAAAAATTAAGTTTTCGGTCACTTCATCCCAAATTTATCTCATCATCAACGAAAATTATAAACGTTGTCCTTGATCATAATTGGAACATTTCAAAGCGATTAGCGCTATATTCCCACCCTCCAGTGTGGTAATGGGTTACTAAATAATATCAGAATACGTAAGCACCTGTAAATATTTAAGTGTGACTCCCACATCCGAGTACATACGACAATATAATTGGTATCAATTTAAAGGTCAACCACTCCTCTTGAATATACTATCAACTTCTCGGGTCTATGTCCTTCAGGAGTAAATTTATACGCCATAGAATAAAAATTTTGTCATTTTCACACAAAAGTCAGGGTTCATTTGACCCGCTAAATATTGGCCGATATTTATCAAAACAGGTACGCTTATTCTTCGGCGCGATCCCTTTCTCCATGTTCGGGATTCGCGATGTTCGGGTCATAATTGCGGTCTCTGCAGAAAAACCGACAAAACCAGAAAAATCGACAAAAAATAAGTATTTGGCCCATTTCATCCCCTAAATATTAACCGATCTTTACCAAAATAGGGGTCTTCATTGGGTAGAACCCATCCTACAAAATTTCGCGATGATTGGTCCATAACTGTGGCCTGTATGGTGTTTACAAATTATAATGGACAGACGGTCGCACGGACGGACACACATGTCTAGATCGACTCAGCTAGTCGAGATATGCCGATCGGCATACTAAAAAGTGGGTCTAGGACCAATATTTCGCGGCGTTACAAACTCTTGGGCCTGCACAAAGCTATAATACCCTGACAACATAGTTGTATAGGGTATAAACATCCACGCCTTTTGTAAAAGCCTCCTTTTCCTCTCGCTTCTTTTGTGGGTCCATATTTGTATACCCTTCACCAAACTGTGGTACAGGGTATTCTGTCTTTGTGCATATGTTTGTAACAGGCAAAAGGGTTCCTTTTGAGAATATGCATTGCATCACTTTTTAAGTCGATTTATGCATGTCCGTCCGTCCGTCTGTCCATGTTAAATAAAGTAACAAAGTACAGGTCGCATTTATGATCCGAATCGGATGAAATTTGGCATAGGTCACTTTTTTGGCCCAAGGACGAACCCTATAGAAATTGGTAAAAATTGGTTCAGATTTAGATATAGCTCCCATATATATTTTCGTCGGATGTTATAAAAATGGCGTACTGAATTATGTCTAGAATGATATGTGTTACGTTTCGTGAAAATCGGTTCAGATTTTGATACAGCTCCCATATATATTGTCGTCCGATTTAATGTAAATGGTGCACCAAAGTCCCTATATATCTTTCGATTTGCACGAAAGTTGACGTAGCGTACTGAATTAAGTCTAGAACGATGTGTGTTAAATTTCGTGAAAATCGGATCAGATTTAGATATATCTCCCATATATATTTTCGTCCGATTTTAGGTAAATAGTGTACCAAAGTCCCTATATATCTTTCGATTATCACGAAATTTGGCACCGCGCACTGAATTATGTCTAGAACGATATGTGTTCAATTTCGTGAAAATCGGTTTAGTTATAGCTCCCATATATATTTTCGTCCGATTTTATGTAAATGGTGCACCAAAGTCCCCATATATCCTTCGATTTGTATGAAATTTGGTATAGCATACTGAATTGAACCTAGAATGATGTCCGCCATGTTTCGTGAAAATCAGTTCAGGTTTAGATATAGCTCCCATATATAGTTTCGTCCGATTTTAGGTAAATAGTGCACCAAAGTCCCTATATATCCTTCGATTTACACGAAATTTGGCACAGCGTAATGAATTAGGTGTAGAATAATGTGTGTGAAGTTTCCTGAAAATCGGTTCAGATTTAGATATAGCTCCCATATATATTTTCGTCCGATTTAGGGTAAATGGTGTACAAAAGTCCCTAAATATCCTTCGATTTGCACGAAATTTGGCATAGCGTAATGGATTAGGTCTAGAATAATGTGTGTCAAATTTCTTGAAAATCGGTTCAGATTTAGATATAGCTCCCATACATATTTTCGTCCGATGTAAGGTAAACGGTGTACAAAAGTCCCTATATATCTTTCGATGTGCACAAAATTTCGCATAGCGTACAGAGTTAAGCCTAGAATGATGAGCGCTAACTTTCGTGACAATCGGATCAGATTTAGATATATCTTTCATATATATTTTTGTCCGATTTCATGTAAATGGTGCACCAAAGTCCTTAAATATCTTTCGATTTGCACGGAATTTGGCATAGTGTAATGAATTAAGCCTAGAATGGTGTGTGTTAAGTTTCGTGATAATCGGTTCAGATTTAGATATAGCTCCCATATATATTTTCAAGTCCCTATATATCTTTCGATTTGCATGAAATTTGGCTTAGCGTTTTAAATTAAGTCTACAACGACGTGAAAATCGG